CTCAGAGGCCCAGGAGGTCAGATCTCCTGCGGCTAAAGACAGATGACCCCCGGCCGCTGCCCCCACCAGCCCTCCCAACCCAGCAGGTCTGCCCCAGGTCAGCCCAGCTGTTTTCATCTGGCGCACCCTCCAGAGAATTAAATTCCTTGGCCCAGAGGGTGACCCACTCTGGTCACCACCACCACCCCCAGGCCTTCTCCTAGGAGTCAGGGAGGCTGGCCTCCCTGAAATTCCTGTTCTCTGCGGGCGGACTGGCCAAGCTGTGTTTGCTTCCGCCCAGCGGGTCACTGGACCCACTTGGAGAGCCGGGAGGAAGGATGGATGGACACACCCTAGTGGCTAGGGTGGTCGGCAAACTCTTTAGTCAACAGAGCCCATTATCAACAGTGCTTCTTCAAAATAGACTCGCCCAGGCCAAAAACCGACTTCTGCGCATGGGCCACGAAGTTTCAATCGCACTGTACGTGCGTGCCCCACGTGGTATTTTGTGTAAGAGCCACACTCAAGGGGCCAAAGAGCCGCATGTGGCTCCCGAGCCGCAGTTCGATGACCACGGCCCCAGCCCCTACGGCCATCCCCAGGTGCTCGGGGCCCTGGCTAGATTACCTCATCCCATCCCGCCACCACCTAGCAGGGCAGGTGTTTTTCCTCGCCTTTAACAAGCGAGGAAAGAAAAAAAGGACACTTATGTAATACCCTTTGTAATACTTTTAGCGAAAAAAAAAAAAATAAATAAAAAAGGTAACCAGAAAAAAAAAAAAAAAAAAAAACAAGCGAGGAAATACAGTGGGGCCTTGACTTACGAGTTTAATTTGTTCTGAGACCGAGCTCGTTAAGGAGCTCGTTAACTCAAATTACTCTATCAACTCAATGCAAAAAATCGGCCAAGAGACAGCTGGTATCTCAAAAAACTCGTTAGTCGGGACACTTGTAAGTCAAGGCCCCACTGTACAGGTCCAGAAGGATTCGACGAGAGAGGGGCAGGGAGAAAGGGCGCTGTGGCATTTCATGGGCGCCGACTTTGGAGGAGTGCGGTTCTTTCTTTCTCGCCCCACTCTCTGAAGGACGTGCTAGGCCCCAGCTGTAAAGATGAGGACATGGAGGCTCACGTGACTTTCCCCGGCCCCGTCACTCAGCCCAGACCGGGGCACAGTCACTGGTTACAGCAAGAACAGCCGCCCCTCCCTGCGTGTCCTTTTTGCCTGGGTTCTATCCGAAGTGCTTCCCCTGCCTTGTCTCCTTGAATTCTGACAGCAGCCCTATAGGGGCGCATACTGTGCGTATTATCCCCGCCTCACGGGGGGGGGGGGGGGGGGTATGATGCTCATGCAAACAGTCAGTGGCAGAGGTAGGATTTGAACCCAGGGAAGCTGTGCTCTGAATGCCTGAGCACTGACACGCCGTGCCTTCCCAGCTCACAGCGGATCGGAAAAGCGTGTGAATCCCGAACACCTCTGGCTTATGTCCTGCCTCCACCTCCTTGTGCAGGCATCCTCGCGAGATTTTCACAGCTGCATCTGCAAGGCAGCGAGACGAGGAGTCGTGACCTCCATCTTCCAGATGGGAGAGCGGAGGCAAACAATTTTCTCCCGTCCCCGTGGTCCCCCAGCCTGCAGGCCTGGACTGGGCTCCCGGGGCCTCTCCCTGTAATTTGCTCACCATTTCTGATCTCTGGGGCTAGGGAGTATAATCTTACGTGAGGGTTTGGTTTCTCAGACTCCAACTGTGTATGGACTCATTTTAAAGGAAAAAAAATAATTCATAGATTATGGAGAATTTATCTCGGACCCCACTGTGCGTCGAGGCAAAATGGAAGGCTTATTCGACAACGAAGCAAGTGGTTATTGCAACAGAGAAGATGTGTTTAGATGTCTGGTAAAGAATTCTTTTGGATATTCTTAAAATAAGATATGATCTTTCTAAGCTTGTTTGGGACGTAATGGCTTTCCAAGACTACATCTATGGGCTGCAGCTTGAGAGTCACTGAATTAGGGAGGACTGCGAGGTGGGGTCATTTGAGAAAGGCCAGGGCAGCCTGGAGGGATGGCCACGCCAGCCTGTCTCATCCATCATGTCGCCTCTCAGCCTGAGGGAGTGGACACCTGGCTGGGGCCCCTGTGCCCACCCCCAGCGTTTGGGTGGCAACTTGGAGCTAATTCCCAAGGCACTAAACCCGCCTCCCTTGCGTGGCAAGCCAGCACCTGCCCCATCTCCTCGGGGGCAGGTCGAGTTTTCCTGTGCGTTTCCTTTTTCCCCCAGAATAAGTGCCACCTGTGGACCCAAATCTCAGGGTGGTAGGTTCAACTTCCAACCGGGACATTTTGGAAGTAGCTCGTGGACTGGAGTTAGAAAGTAGGCACTGCTTGTATGAATAACAGGATTCATCTAAACTTGATGGCAACTTGCTGACCAACACATTTTCATACATTTTCTAAAGGGGGCTCCACGCCCAAACCTTCTGTGTGAGGCTCCCGCAGCCACGTGGAAAAGACACCCCTTGACAGGAATCAGAAATAAGTGAGCCCCCAACTCCCTGCTGAACATCACACTGAACCTGTGAGCCTCAGTGTTCAGCTCAGTAAAATATGGGTCCTATCGGGCTTCCCAGAAGGTGGCCAGGAGGGGTGAATGAAATAACCACGGGGCCCACCAAAGGGCCCAGCACAGAATAAAGGCCAGATGCTCCCGTTTCACCCCTAAAACTCACTGTGACATCAGCGGGGGTTCTCTCCATTCCTGGCCACCCCCAGGGCAAAGCAGTCTGTTTGGACAATACATCATCACAAAGGATGCTAGGTGCCCTAGCCGGCTTGGCTCAGTGGATAGAGCATCGGCCTGTGGACTGAAGGGTCCCGGGTTCGATTCCAGTTAAGGGCACATACCTCAGTTGCAGGCTTGATCCCTGGCCTGGGTCAGGGTGGGTGCAGGAGGCAACTAATTGATGTGTCTCTCTCACCTCAATGTTTCTCTATCTCTGTCTCACCCTCTCCCTTCCACTCTCTCTCTCTGAAAAATCAATGGAAAACTATCCTCAGGTGAGGATGAACAAAAAAAAAAGGGAAAAAAAGAAAGAAAGAAAAGGATGCTAAGTGCCAATTTTTTGGAGATGGTGTCAGATGTGCCATGAAATCATAAGCAATACTTTCCCCCCATTTCTCTCAGCTTTTTTCTTGGGTCAACTTTTACCTGCCTGCAGTCCCCACGACCCAGGGACTCCAGGTAGAGCCCACAGTGGCTTAACACCATATCTACGCTGTTAACTCCTAGTGTCTCCAGACTCGATGGCTCCTCCCGCTCACCCTGCCACTGACTGCATGGGACGCGGTTAGAGCGCGGGCCAGGCTGGGGGACCTCTCCTCTCTGCTCCCGGCTTTCTGTCAGGCAGCGTTGCCTTCAGCGCCTTGAAAAGGGTTACGTGGATTCACCTGAGCAGCACTGACAATGATGGGAGGATGGGCGGAAATCAGGAGCATACTATCCACGCTGATGGACCCGCCTCCCTGCCAACCGCCCAGTGAAGGGAGGGGCAGGAGAAGATTCGGAGAGCCGGACGTTGCCCACAGACAGCACCTAACTGCTCGGGGGGCCTGCCTCTCCCAGGAACGCTTATGCCTGCTCACATCACCGAACAACCGCAGAGCCACACAATATTCCAGCCCCCACCCCAGTCCCCCCCCCCGAATCCTGAAGGCATGTCTCAGCGATGGCTGCACTTACCTGTCATGCTTCCACAGTTCCTGACTCTTCCATGTATCAGCCGTGTGACCTTGCACCTATGATTTACTCTCTGAACCAACCTCAACTTTCCCATCAGTGAAAATGGGCATAATGATGCCTAATTTTGAATGAGCTAAATTAGTATGGGAAGTCCCGCACCAGAGCCAGCACATAGTCAATGTTCAATTAACTTTAAAAATAGTGATTGCTAGAGGATGTTCACATCGAACACCTTTTTGGAAAGAAAGCATCTCATTGGGCATAATGAGTACCTCTGCCTACCTCACCAGGCCCCATGAAGAAAAAAACATAGTCCCCATCACTCAGGCCAAGACGTCTTGATGGTTGACAGACGTGCATGGCACCCAGGGCCCCCACCATAGCTACCTGGTTGGGTGCTGAGCCCGCACAACTGTTCATGGCTGCTCTGGGCCGGCTCTTACCTGCTCTGTGTCTAGAATCCAGGGAAAGTTCTTTCTCGATTTTCAGTCCCCAAAGCCATCCAACTCTATCATCAGTTTACGTCTTAACAGACTTGAAAAAGGAGCACCCCATCTGTCCTCCCAGACCTCTCCTCCCCGTGACTGTCTATATGTCCCCGGGAGTTCCCACCTCTGAGCGGGGCTCAGGGGTTCAGGCTCAGACAAATGTGGGGTGGACCCTGCCTAGAGTAGTCCTGGGGGGCGTGGGGCGTGGGGGGGGGGGTCATGTCCCAGAGCCAGGTCTCCTGGCAGGATCTCTCCACACTCCCTGGCTACATACCTACCCAGGCTTGGCTCTGCTTAACCCAACACACCCCCTTGCCAGCCCCGCTGTTAATAAAGTCATACCCATTCGACCTGCCTAGCCTTCCTGCTTCTATTCCTGCTCCTCTCCACTCCTCTCTCCACACCTGGCCCTGAGGACTATGAGCCTCGCATGTTACCCACCCCTTCTTAAACCAATCAGTGGCCTCCGATCTCCCCAGGTGAAATTCCAAACTCCTTCCCAGGTTGAGAAGATTCTGCTGAGCTTCCCTCTGCTTTTCTGCCCATCACCCAGCCAACTCCTACTCCAGCGTCAGGTCTCAGGTGTCACCTCTTCCGGGAAGGCTTCCCTGATGCTCCTCTTCAAAGCTCCCACCACTGCCTGTTCTTCCCCATCCAAGCACATACCAAACCCCGCGGGCTCAAACGGCCCGTTCACCTGCCTCCCCGACTGGCTGAAGTAACTGACTCCTCTCCGGTTCCCAGTGCCTCCCTCGATGCTGAAAACCACGCCGAATTCACGAGTGCCTAGGTTTGTAGTGACTCCTTCTGGAAACCATCCAGGGTCTCTCAGATTGGGACAAGCAGCTCAGAGCTCGCCAGAGGCACCGGGAGACTTCAGAACCCCGGCCTGTGGCCCTGCGGGGTCTGCCTTGCAGAGGTCTGCCTGCGAGGCCTGTGGTTTTACTGCTCATGGAAATTAGGCTGGCAGATCAAAGGCATGGCTCCTCCGGCCCAGATTGCCAGCAGCCAGCACTATCGAAATTTCGCTTGCATTGGTAATTCGAAATTAAGTGGGTTAATGATTGACATCGATTTGTAAAACCTGGCCACCACCTCGCCTCCTGCAAACAGGGGCTGGCTGGGAGTTTTCTAACAGGAGTTCATTTAGCCCTGGCCATGCCCCACCCCCACCCCGACTTTAAAGGGCCCCTGTTCTCAAAAACTCTCCGCCATTCCTGCGAAGAAAAGGCTTAGCACCTGAGATCCCCTTTCAGAAATAAAAACTCACAAATTTGAGCCACGGAGGAAAGCCTGGTGTGACTTTGCACCTGTAACACATGAGTCACTTGATTAAGAAAATGCTCAAAATCAAGTGTGCGATTTCTCTCTGTGTGGGGTACAGGAGAGCAGGGGGCCGAGGAGGGTGAGAAATACCTTCAGCTGCACCACCTTTCAAATCCTAACCAGGGTCTAGCCCTCGCCGGTTTAGGCTCAGTGGATAGAGCATTGGCTTGCAGACCAAACGGTGCGATTCCAGTCAAGGGCACGTAGCTCGGTTACAGGCTCCTCCCTGGCCCGGGCCCTGGTCAGGGCCCATGCAGGAGGCAACCAATCAATGTGTTTCTCTCACATCGATGTTTCTCTCTTTCCCTCTCTCTTCCACTCTCCCTAAAAATCAATGGAAAAATATCCTCAGGTGGGGATTAACAAACAAACCAGAAAAATCCTAACCAGGGTCTCTAAATCAAGCATGTCAAACTCGTGGCCCACGGGCCTCATGCCTCGTTTATTTGGCCCGTGTTAGCCTTTGAGTTTGACATGCTTGGTCTAAGTATCAGGGGCCATCCGCATTTTGGAAAGGGACTTTTTCCCATTGTGCTTTATTGTGCAACCCGTCCAAGTGAACAACTGTTGGAGGACTTCAAAGCCACCCCACCACGGGACAGGCGGGCTGTCTCCTCACCTTTGTTTGGAAGCTGGAGAGGACAGGGGCTTCCTGAGGAGGGTGGGGGTCCCCCTGTATCAGATGGGGGACACCCAGCCAGGAGCAATCTTCATGCAAAGCCTCCAGTGTACTTGGACTTGGAAATTCTCTGACGATGCACAGAGAATCCGTGGGAGAAACACATCCTTCATAAAGGCCCCTAGCCCCGCTGGTGCCTGCTGGGCCTCTGCACAGAGCTCAAGTCCAGATAAGGCCCACCTGCCCGGTCCAGTCCATCCACACCTCCTGGCATGCGGGCAGCCTGATTCTGAGAAGGCTGACCTGGGCTAAGGATGGCTCCCGAGGGAGGACAAGGGCAGTCCTGGTTTTGTCTATAAACTGGGGACAATCATTGCTTTCCGTCAGGAAAAGGGAGGAGCCAATGAGATCATTGACCTAGAACAGGTGGCCCAGTGCCCAGCACCTCGCCCTCCCAGCTCCCCTGAGAGGCAGGCACATTGGTTGCTAATGATTGTGACTCACATGGTCACGCAGGGTCACTCCGGGAATGCGTTTTCCTGCTGTTTGTTTGTCTCGGGCCTTTTTGGAACAGAGGCAGGGGAGCCTGGAAGAGAGAGGGAAGGTGGCTGCTTTGTCACGTGGGACCTCAGGGAAGGGGAGACAGGGGGATGGAGGACAGGAGCACGGGGTGGGATGGCTCCCTTCCCAGACTCTGCCCCCTCACCAGCTCCTGCCTAGGGTGGGATGGAGGGCGAGGGAAGGCCAGGGAGCTGAGGAAGGCCACCTCCAGCTTCCACCACGTATGTCCTTCTGCCCAACTTTCCAAGTTTGTTATGCACGAGAGATCCTGGGTTGCATATTAATAAAACAATGGAATTTTTATTTCTTCGTCTCATAAATTACATAATTCAAACCTTAAAACACCTTTAATGAACAGTGACTGGGCATGTGACACTTAATAAAACGGGGCTCGGGTCAGTTTCTGCTTGACAGGCTACCAGCCGGGAATGTGCCTCGCGAGTCAATGATTAAGAGGCGGGGATCTTTCCTGGGCTCCACTATTAAACACTTCAAAGGTTTCCAAAGTCAGATAAAATGAAAAGCAAATGTGTTTCACTGCCTCTCAAATGCCTCAAATGTTTTAGCAGGTGCAAGCAATGAAACCTGCCATGGTGACAGCATTTTAGGGTCTGCAAAGTGCACCCGACGGAATTCTGGGAATTCTGGGCCGGCTTCATAAAAATGCATGATTTCCAACGAGGAGGAGACGTGGTCGTCTTCAGAGCCCATCTGCATACGGGGCACGAAAGGGACAGATCTCAAGGTCCTGGGGTCACGGGTCAGCTTAACCCTCTCTGCCCCAGGAGAGACCCAGGTCTGCATGGAGCTCCGAGCATCCCCAGCTGGGAGGTCAGCCTTGTGCTGGCCAAGCAGACGGGCAAGTCTCTGGGATGGCCCAGACTTTCAACAGCACATTAACATCCGGGTCAAACCCAATCCTCTTTTTCTGGGCACGAGTACATTTTTACTAGTACGTGGTCTGGGAGTGCATCGCAGACTACAGACATAGATGGTAGATGTTGTGCCATATTTAAACTTCTGTACCCCAGTTTCCTCATCTGTAAGATGGGGTAATTGTGGCGCCTGCATCACAGGGTTTTTGTGAGGTTAGCATCCTAGACGAGCGTAGATCCCACAGCAGAATTCAATGCATGTTCTCAATTCTTATTGTCCTGTTAGGATAAATGAACCCGAACGTCAGCATTCTCCAGCTTGGCCACTTGAGATTTTCATTTAAAATTTGCCGTAACTGAGCTTTACACGTCATAGTCATGTCTCGCATAGACATGTAATGTTTTATGGTTTACAGAGGACGTTCTGAGACGTTACCTCATTCCAACCTTTCCCCGGCGAAGCTGGCACAACCAGGGACGGGGTTTCTGCTCCGCCGTGGAGTCGGACCCATCGCTGGGGCCTCTGCGTTCCGAGGGCACCCATCTGTGAAATGGGCACAGAGAGGCTCCCTCTGAATCACAGCACGGTCCGCCCTGAAGAGCTGGCACCAGCAACACCGGCTGGGTTCTCAGAGCTCCTGGCCCCCTTGTCAGCACAAGGAACTCAAATGCACTTGACACGTTATCTCAGTCATTCATCTTGCAAGCGCTCGCTTATGAGACCTCAACTTTTATTCTCCCCCTTTTCGTAATGAGCAAGGCAATGAAATGGCATTCCGAGAGCCGATGAAGGAGAACCCTTCGTTCTCGCCTCGGGGAATCGCTGAGCAGTGATCGTTATCACAGAACATTCTGCTGCTTTCCTGGCAACACGGATTACTCACCTCCCCCTCAGCCACGGTGCTCTGCGGTGCACGCCCCTGAAAGCCTTGTCGCTCAGGGGACTTGAAGTCGAGACACATCCCACAGCCCCTTCACCACATGGGCTTTTAAAATAGGCACACTCACTCATTTATGGATAATAGAGACCATTATAAACTGGTGAACAAAAATAGATACAGAGGCAGAGCAGCATCGAACAGACTCTCAAACTACAGCGGGAAGGCCAGGGAGGGTTGTGGGGCGGGGGGGGGCGGGTAAGAGATCAACTGAAGGACTTGTATGCATGCATATAAGCATAACCAATGGACACAAGACACTGGGGGGTAGGGGAGGCCGGGGAATGTCAAGGGGGAAAAAAAAGGAGACATGTGTAATACTCTTTGTAATACATTAAGCAATAAAACAAAATTTTAAAAAGTCAATAAAAAATCTTTTACAAAAAAAAAACAACACAGGCATACTGCTGGCCAGCATGGTGCAGTGGTTGAGCATCCACCTATGAACCAGGAGGTCACAGCTCAATTCCTGGTCAGGGCACATGTCCAGGTTGTGGGCTTCCTCCCCAGTGCGGGGCGTGCAGGAGGCAGCTGATCAATGATTCTCTCTCATCATTGATGTTTCTATCTCTCCCTCTTCCTACATCTCTGAAATCAATAAAAACATATTTTTAAAAAATAAAAATAGGCATACATCTCTCTTAGTTTTTCTATATATAATTTGTACGTCTATAAACAAGGGATCATTCTAGACCCACAGCATTATCATATGCTAATTTGTAGCCTAGCATGACACCTAGAACATCTCACTACCCAGCCACACAACCCCCCCACCCCATCTGCTCTACGGCCTGTCAATACACAGTGGAGATTCCCTTCTACAAAATCATAGTGTTTCGGCTCAAACATCCCTCCTCTCCTCCGCGCCACCCAGTCTACCCCAAAACCATGTTAGACTCAGGTTGGCCTCTACTCTGCTCCCAGCATGTGCCAGCCATTAACTACCCACTCATACCTTTCTAACCATCCTATTTAAGGACATAATTGTAAGATGTATGTAAAGGGGTGATTGCTAGGACGTTCTTTATAGCATTGTTTATAATAATGAAAGATGCAAAACATCTGAAGTGTCCAGCATTAATAACATTCGGAACAACCATACACTGAAGAGCTGGGCTGGTACTTTCAATGAGATGGGTGTTGTGTACACGAAAGCACACTCATGTGTCATGCTAATGACACATGAGCATGTGGTCAAGTCTAATGAATGTCTAGAGTGATCCCTTGTTTACTAGAAGTACAAATTTTGCTCATATATATTGAAAGCTATATATGCCCATTTTAAAAAGCCTATGAATATGTATAGGAGTTGGTTTATAGTGTTTCCTGCTCAGTAATACGATGTCAAATTTAATTTGCTCTTCAATTTCTGTTCTCAGTCCTGTACTTTTGGATTTGCTATGTTGTTCCATTTTCTTTCTTTGGCCCATCCCTATTTTCTGATTTCCCTATAGAAAACACAATTTCTTTTGTTATATTAAAAACTAGAGGCCTAATGCATGAAAATTCATGCACATGGGGGGTCCCTCAGCCCAGCATGCACCCTCTCACAGTCTGGGACCCTTGGGAGATGCCCACCTGCTGGCTTAGGCCTGCTCCCTGAGAAAAAATGATCTAAAAGAAATAATCATATCCTTGGGTAAGGATTTTTTTAAAAGGTAATGGTCGCATGAAAATTCACTGCCAGCGAGGCTGAGAGGACTGGGGGACTCGGGCGGCAGGCACGAGGAGCAGCCGAACCCGCCTGGGGGTGGGCCCGGCAGCGCTGCATACTGCCTGCCACCTCCCCGGCAGGGCTGAGGGGACTGGGCACTGCGATCTTGTGGCTGTAGGCGGCGCCATCTTGTGAGGGCGTGGTGGTCAATTAGCATATTACCTCTTTATTATATAGGATGTTTTTCTTTGTTAAAAAATACTTAGCGTTTCATGGCTGAGAGTGGCTCCGGAATTTATCTAGTCTGGAACGGCCTTCGTTTCCAGTTGGGTAAACCGAGGCCCAGAGAAGTGAAGTGCCTCCTCGAAGGTCCTCAAGCTAATTTGGTGGCAGAAACCAGGTCCCCAGACCGATCCCAGTGCTTCTGTGAAGGCCTGTGATGTCGTAAGTTTTATTTTTTATAAACATGGAAGGAGGCCGAATGCACGGGACCCCCTCTCCTCTCCCTGAAACTGGGCATTCCTCCATTGGCTCAAAAGCAAATGTGCCTCCTCCTGCATCCACCTCCAACCCGCTCCCCCAGGTGAGAAAACCAGCAGCACACAGAGCAGATGCGCCCGGACACAGGGAGAGGCGTCGCTCCAGATGTCAGCACGTTATTCTTGTCCAGGCTACTGTTCTGTGTGCGGAGCAAGTGTGGGGCGCTGCCCTGCCCTCAGCCTGCGCTACCCCCGGGCTCATCCTGGCCCCTGGTTAATGAATAACATGGCCACATGAATGGGCAGAGATTGCATCAGCCTGTTTCAAAGTTATTTTTTTCCTAAAACACCCTAAGCACTTGTGGTTTTTCCTTCTCACTCATCATGACTCATTCATTTGCTGATGCTGAAATGGAAGGTGGTTGTTCTGTTCAATTGTGGTAATTTTTCCATCCAGGAAAGGAAAGAAGCAATGTCCTAACAGGACCCTTAGTGAGGCCATAGCCGCAGGGATGGGAAGGAGAAGAAGGCTGGGTTGTAGCTGAGCACCTGCCAAGGCCTTCAAGAGCAAGTTCAAGCTGGTGTGAACAGTGTCCACCCCTCACTAGGGCTCAGTGCTCCCCCTCCCCCGACCTTCACCTCGCTGTGGGGATCCCCACCAGCCTCTGCACCAGGCCTGGGCATTCCTCTACAGATGGGGAGACAGAGGGTGTACAGAGAGGCTGAGTGAATTTCCAAGGCCACAGAGCTCGTAAGATGCCCCTGCTCCTAGTTCAGTATTTCCCCCTACACTAGCCTCAGGGAGGATGTGAGTAGCAGTGGGA